TCGAATTAAACACGTCGATATATCGGCATCGCTCCCGTTTGCGCGAAACACATTGGCCGATTGTACCTGCGACTATTTTATAACTATTATGTAAAAAAGAATATATATGTATATAATCGTTGTGCGATTATGTAAGATAACAAATACGCACAACAAGTATAGAGACGTCGAGGCATCCGCCTAGAGAGAAAAGTTGCTCTCGACAATTCCGACGTCGAGAGCGTGTAACCGCTCTCTCTCTCTCTCTCCCTCTCTCTCTCTCTCTCTCTCTCTCGACTCCGTTCGTCGCTAGATAGGCAACTTTTGCCTTTGTACCATTGTATAGATTCACCTGTTCTACTTGAAAACGCAGAACGGAAACTCGGCAAGGAAGTGCAGCAGCTGAGTGGGACAGGCCTTTCAGACCGCGACACGGCGAGCGCGAACTGTCGCCGTTATCTTTCGCGACAATGTAGCGAGTCGCGGCGCGGCGACTCTCGAGAGGAGCGCATCTCGCGCAACGCGCCGGCGGCCAATTTTGCGTTGGCCCACCCGGGCCGTTTTTGAGCATGCGGTGCACCGAGAATAACGACATTTAATAATATCAACGTGAATCACGAACGTCACGACGGCGCGCGTCGTGACGTCACGGTTGTACATCCTCAAACACGTCACACTTGAACGGGTAGACCGAGCTCCGTCGGAGAGAAAGAGAGACAGAGAGACAGAGAGAGAGAGAGAGAGAGAGAGAGGGACTGCGAGAAAGAGCATTGTGCGATTGACCGCGTTAATCGAACGGTAAATCCGTAGCGTTAGTCATCCCTGACGAAGGCGATGACGGTATCAGTGGGAGCGACGGTGGCAGCGCGCGCGTGAATCAGAATTTCAACAATTGAATATGCGAGGATGTCATGAGCGTGCGCGCGCTCGTCATTTCGAGCGAACGCTCCCGTCGATGAAAATCGCTCGTAACGTCCACGTGTATCATTCGTGTCGTGTGTGATTTACTTCTACCTCTAAAAGGTATGGGAAAGAAGTTCCGTGAACTTAAGAGTAGAACGACGTTTTACGAGAATTCATCTCAATTTTATTTATTACCGGAGACAGACAGAGAGAGAGAGACAGAGAGAGAGAGAGGGAGTGAGTGAGCGTTTAAATATCAAGGAAACTTGACATTTATCTTACAAAGTTCACCGCGTGACAAACAAACAAACAACACGCGAGAGGATGCGTCAGCTCGTCGTCGCTCGTCGACGCTCGGAATCGGATTTATGCGTGATAATAACTGGTCGAGGAAACCCCCGCACATTTCACGATCGCTTTTCCGCGAGGGACAGCGACGAGGGGGTTGGCGTTACCGCGAGATCGGGAATACGGGAGTCATTAGGATGTCAGTCCGCCGCCAAGGCTGCCGCCGCCGGGCTCTGCCTACGCGCGGGTCTACGCGCCCGCTAAAAATACCGTAACGCATTGAGCGAGCGAGCGGCTGACCGACCGACCGACCGACCGATCGAGAGAGTGTATCGAGGCGCCTTCCTTCGCACGCGCGTGTGCCTGTCGTCGTCGCGTGCCTGTCGCTGCCAATCGACGCAAATAATTACTTTCACCTCTCTATCTCTCTACTCCGTCCATCCTTCGTCGCACCGTCGTCATCGCGACGCGTCCATATTCGCTGTGCGCTGTCGTTAGGAAAGGGGAAAAAAACAAAACCAAAAAACAACGCCGCCGCTATAATCGCGCGTCCGACTTCGATCGTTCACCTCAGTGCGAAAAGGAGCGAGCAAAGTCGAAGTAACGTCAACGTTTTCGCACCCTTCTCTGTCTGGTCGCTTGACTGTTGTCCACATGGCTCTTGAGGACGCTTCCTCCGTCCTAGTTCGCGCATTGTTATCGGTGTGAGACGATCAATCACGCCGGAGACTTTGCTTGTCTCTCGGAGAGCCGAGGAACGAGAACGTTTCGCTTCGATCAGCGAGCTCCTGCGGACCGGCGCTCCTGCGCGGAGAATCGTAATTCGTGGTTCGCTCGCGAGCAGTCGTCTCCTGTCGCGCGCCGTGTCTGATCCCGAGCCCTTATCGGCGAGAAAGAGAGAGAGAGAGAGAGAGAGAGAGAGAGAGAGAGAGAGAGAGAGAGAGAGAGAGAAGGCGAAATTTTCCACCGGCTACTCGCCGCATGAATGACACGAGAAGCGGAGCGGTCGCGAGGTAACGCTTGCTCGCGTAGGAGACCTCCGGCGATGAAACGGAGCAGGGGAGTATGAGGACACGCGAAGAATTCCGCGAGAGAGCAACTCTTCTGTTCCCCCGGAGCGCGAATGCAACAAGTCTCAAGACCGACGCGAGCTTGCACGACTTTTCCCATGATGGATGCTCGACCTGAATAAAACAATTCCTGCTAGAGTTTATTTCTGCGTTAGGCAGAGAATAGGGTTTACAACGGGGGTGAGAGAGGACTTAACCGGTTGAATCTACTTACGTGGCTCCCTTGAGACGCGAATAAAATTATAGATCGCTCGAATTAACCCCTTGACTGTGGGTGACGCGTATACGCGCATCGAAGAGAAAGAAAATAGTAAAGCTATTGTTATTTGCGCACAAGTGGGTATCTATACGATTTTGAGGTCGCTGCGAATTTCAATGATATCAAAGCTCAAAATAGCGGATCTAATGTGGAGTGTAAAAATTTGGAAAATAATCAGATTTTCATGAAAGTGGGTACCTATACGCTGAGAAAAAATTGTATTAAGATTAAACAAATATTTGTACGAATACGACTGTGAATACATTTACTTAAATTAAGCAATTATTTTGTAAAATTCAAGAAAAAAGTTCACATTCAGAACCTCTATATTTCATTTGAGAAATTAGTCGCTTAATTTGAATAAATGTATTCACAGTCGTATTCAAACAAATATTTGTTTATTTAATTTTAATACAATTTTTTCTCAGTATAGGTTTCTGGCTTCCATTTTTATATCTTTCTTTTGCTTCCATAGTTTTTAATTTTTCGGGGGTTTTAATAATATCTAATTTTTTTCCTTTTTATAATTTATAATTCTTTTTTGTCTTTATAATTTATAATTTTTTTGTTTTTACAATTTTGAAATTTTGATGTCACGGGGTTAACGGGGCACAGTGAGCGAAGCGAATGCTGCGATTGCTGCGAAGGAAACAGAACCTCCCTGACTCGCGGAGCCTCGAACTTGGTTCATGCGAGCCAGAAATTCTGTCTCTCCCTTCGAACGAGGTGCATTCGTCTCGTTTATTGTCACGCTTATTTCAACGAATCTCTTTTTCCACGTGCATCGTGGAAGTCGAAGAAACTGCTGCAAGAATATACGCTTAAACATCACTCGCGCGCGCGCGCTACTTGTAGTGTATGACAAGGAAGTCTCAGTAAAAAGCGGCTCGCCTTGAATCGCCTCTGTGCGATCGCAATCTTCTATATATTCTATATATTCTATATATTCTCCATTCGGTGTCTCACCGTCCGCGTGACGACAAGATGGAGTGTTTCTTCATTGAATTCTGAGGCGAGGTCTCGCTGAAACTTTGAAAGGCGATTCCCCTCGACGATTAGGGACAATGACGCAAATGTAAATATATCCCTTATCATAAGAATGCTGGCAATCCGAGATAAGGGCTTCCCGACGTCGAAGTGGCAAGCACGCTAGAGGTAGAAATTCTTTTAAAATGGTAATGGTAGCGATTACGCAGGTAAACATGGGAAAGTTCATAGGTGAGACGCAAATCAATCATTCATGAGACTGACTTGAGATATGATATCGTGTTCTATATTATGAACTCGAGCCCTCTTGCTCCTCAGAATATCTCTCTCTCTCTCTCTCTCTCTCTCTCTGAATAATATTATTTGCATCATAAACTTCATTGCGTGTCACACGGAATACATCAACGCGCACGCGAGGAAATGTCATGCGCTCGCAAGATGCCAATAGACGCCGCTTAGCGCGCGTCCAGTAATCCTCGTTAGTGTCTCGACTTGAGACTTCCGTTATGCAATCGGACCGTAATTCATCGAGCACATTCTCGTGCCATAAGGCGGGTGATAAGGGGATTCCATTACTGCGTCGTCGATAACGCGATGCTCGCATGCATAATCGCGCGTCTCGTCGTCGTCGTCGTCGTCGCGGCGTTCGCAATTTGCATGTCGTCTTTCCATCTTCCTCTCGGCTTACGTAAGCCGCGGTGTCCGCGCCGCGGCA